TCCTCAGTACCCCATAAAATTCAGGAAGAACCACACAACTTGCATTTAGGCCAATTGAAAATGAAAAATGACAAGTCATGGGATTTGTTTGTGAATGCTTGGTTTGGTGCTGAGCTGCAGTAGCAGCAAGAAAAGTATATTTAAAATAACATCCCTTGAAAATGGTATTTCCTCCAAATCCTTACTGTAAACAATGAAGCATCTGGGTATGCCTAGAAGCTGTTTCTTAAAATAAAATCATTGTCTAGCACTCCTTAAGAAAAACCCCACAACAGAAAAATATCAAAGTATTTCTTCATCTTAGTAACCTCAACAAAAGGAATTAAGTCAAATCCTGCATGTGGTGGACCAGAACAGAATTCCTGGTATTCCACGGTGTGACTGATGGTAGCAGAATCCACAAACCCTTCCCTTACCGATTCTCCCGACGATTTCCTCGCATTCTTGCTCAGAACTGGATGCAAACACCAGGCAGTCGAACGTGCTCCCATCAGGGCTCTCGGGGGAAGAGCTAAAAATGGAAACACGTCCATTATCCGGCAGAGCTCCGAGCCCAGCCCTGCCTTCAGCCGCACCAGGGACCCTGCGGCTGCTCTGGACCTCATTTCTTGTTTTCCCAGACCCAGATTCCGTCTGTCCCCCCTGGCAGGGCCCACAGCAGCTCACACCACACAGAAGGCAAAGATCCTGGGGCTCCACGTGCAGCGTCCCACGCAGGAGATGGAGGGGTAGGGATGGCGGCACAGGAGCTGTGCAGGGGACAGGGAGGGGCCGGTGGTTGGGGCTGTGCTCAGTCCCTGGTGGCCCTGTTCCTGGGTTATACTGTCCCCAGGACCCCTCCAGCTGGGCTCCTCATGCCACCAGATTCCTGGACCTTGGATGTCACTCACTCACCTTGGAAGAGGCCTTTTCCCGCACGAGGACTTCTGCCTCCTTCACATCAAATAAAACCTCCTGTAGGGGAGATGAGGGGGAAGAAGCCCCCATCAGCACAGCCCTGAGCTCTGCTTTTAATCAGACACTTACCAGAGATTATCCAAATGCAGAGGTGATGAAGGACAGTCAACCTCAGCTTTTTCAAGTTTCCTCTGTGCTCCCCTTTTTCCCCCCACCCAGTGCTTTCACACTTCAATCTTTTCACAAGCAACCCCCAGAGGCTCAAACAACAGTGACCTAAGCCCTAAAGCACTCCCAGAATCAGGCTTAGCTTTCCCAGAGTTTTCCAAGTGTTTTCCTGCATGTTGTTGCATTGTTTCCTTCATGCTCTTTCCTACTGTGGCTGCTGAGATGCTTCTGACCTGAAAAAACCCCACAGGGGTAATGGGGTGGCAAATATTCAGCCAAGCCAAGTGAACCAGGAGCTGGCAGGAAAAAATATCCATGGCAGAGACCCTGTTTCCCTGCATTCTCTCCCAGAGCCCTTCCCAGGTTGTCCCCAGCCCTGTCACTCACCTGCGCTGCCAAGTCCCTCTCCAGCACAGCAGGGATGGCTCCCTCCAGCACCTCTTTGCCACCATACTGAAATGGAATGGGAAGGAGGGAATAACCCTTGGACACATGAAAAGAACTCCAGAAGAGATGATTCAGCCCATGGTAGGTCTCTGCCCCACAGCCTCACCGTCCCAACGCTGGTCTGGCCCAGGTACCGCAGGCTGTAGAGCAGTCTGGGGAGAAAAGGGCTCGGGGGCATCAGAGGATGGACCCCACACATCCTTCCTGCTCCTCTTTGCAGGGAAAGATGTCCCCAGCTCCCTCCTCACCTCCAGGCCATGGGGGCAGCCTTGGCCCCACAGCCTTGAGCAGAGATCAGGGATAGTGTGGGCATGGGGATACCCCAGTGCCAGGACCCTCAGCCCAGCCTGGGGGCTGCCCATGGCACAGACCCACCTTCCCCCCTGCAGCTGCTGGGGCTCCCCCTCGCCCCTGCGCCGGGGGCTGTGCTGCAGCTGGAACTGGGGCTCCTTCTCCTTCAGGGCCTTCAGGTAGGGCAGCAGGGGCTCAAAGATGGTGCCATCGTGCCACCGCCAGCGCAGCAGGCGGAAGGTGAGCGGCTGTCCCTTCAGTCTCTGCAGCACGGCCCCAGCCTGGAGAGAGGGAGGGAGGGAGGAGCAGAGGGGAGCAGGAGGCACAAGAGGGGGACACCCCAGCCCTCTGTCCCCACCCACCTGCCCAGGGGAGGCGTATCTCAGCGAGCAGCCGTTGATCTCATCCAGGATGTCACCGGCCAGCACCACCTCGTCCACCGCTGCCTGGCTCTCCGGGAGCACCTTGGTGACAAAGACTCGGCCGTCCACGTACCTGGGGGGTGCAGCCAAGCCTCAACTCAGCCACAGGGACCCTGCCTGGCTCCCCTCTTGTACCATCCATGACATTTCACCCACACACAGAATGCAGGGAAAAGCCACCTCATGGACAGGAGATACTGGCAAGGCTGAGCTGATGGGGAGAAGAGCACCTGAGACAGCCCCAGTGCTCTCAGCAGGACATTTATTTCTTTTTTGGGGGGGCATTTTCAGTGCTGTGATGACCAGATCCCTCTGGAGGGTGGAGAGGAGGATCCTACCTGAGCACCATTCCCAGTGCTCGGCACGGGACTGTCTCGTAAGTACTGCACACCTGAAAGAGAGTGGATGGTGACAGTGGCCTTGGCAACGGCCATTGGACATCCAAGGGACCCCATGCCCGGGATAATTTTGGGCGCTGATGCCAACCCACGGCTTTGGGAGCCCAGGGAAAGGCAAGTCCCAGTGGCCCGGGCTGAGCTGGGGCCATCAGTGGCTGCTTGTCTCTGTCCTCTCTCAGGAATCGGCTGTGCCCATACCCTGAAGGGACAAAGCTGCCCTGTGGATGGGATGGCAAAGCAACAGCAAACCCTTAACTCACTGAAGAGGCCTCCTGCCTCACCCCACATGTCCCCTCCCCAAAGCCAGTGCTGTTTGCAGCAGCACTTACTGTCACATCACATTAGGCGGGGACCCAAGACACGGCCAGCTCGTCTGGGGGCACTGGCTGTCAGAAATGCCCCAAAGCCAGCGGGATCCCAGGCTCTGCAGCAGCACCACGGCTCAGTGCACGCCTTGACCAGTCCCAAAACTGCCTTGAGCTTTTTGGGGATTCTTTTGGGTTTTAAAAGTGATGGAGGGATGCTCTTCATTGTTAAAAGACATGAAGGCATCCCTGCTGTTCTCAATAACGCACTGATGTTTCACTGAGCAAATCAAGAGTGAAACCAACTGATGCGTAATTTGTGTCAGCCCAGGGAAATGGGGAATTTTTTTTGGCAAGAAATCAGGGATGGGAGCACGGGAAAACTTCACTTATATCAGCAGTTTAGGCCTGGGTACTTCCCTTGCTTGGTTTTACTCCAGGAATGCTGGGATCTGCTCCTGGTGACAGCGCAGGCACCCAGCAGGATCCAGCCTCGAGAGCAGAGGCAGCTCTGCTCGTCCTGGTGAACCTGAGCCAATTCACCCCGGGGTGCGTGGCAATCCCTCCCCACCAAACCATTCCTTATCTTCCTCATTTGACTTTCCAGGGAGGGCCAGGTGGCGGAAGGACGGCTCCCAGGAGCCATGGGCTCTTACCGGCAGCAGCCAGCTCTCATCCAAGAAGCTGCAATTCTGCAAACAAAGGAGTGTCAGCACCATGAGTCCTGGCAAGGAAGGGGCCAGGGCCCCACGTTGGCAGCCCTGTGCTGGTCACCACCCCACTGATTCACCACTGCACCTGCAGGTCCAGGGAGAAATCTACCTCTGTCAGCACCAGCAGCAGCGAGAGGAAAGGCTCTGCAGAGGGATGGGGATGGAGAGGCAGTGTCACCGGCAGGTTCCTGGCAGCCACGGCCTCACAAGGGCACGGCAGAGGACAGAATAAAGCCATTTGCAGTGTAACTAATGAGTCCTGGGAGTGAGGCCTTGAGAGCATCCCAGCACCATGCACCCAGGCTGCTGCTGGAGGCTCATCCCAGGCTCCCGCTGCCGGCACAGGTGCAGCTTGGTACCTTTTCCCCAAAATTCAGATGAAGGCTTGCAGTGAATACTGCTGACTATTCCTCCACTTAGAAGCACAGCAGAGCTGCCCAGGCTCTCCTGCACAAGCCTTGCAATCACACTGCTGGGTCTGCAATCTGCTCATGCACCAGCAGCGCGGGTGATTTATAAACCATTGACGTACAGGTTTAACATGGGGTTATTCATCATAATCAGAAGATTAAAGGCTTCCACCCCAGCCTGGCCCCCCAAGGAGCCTGGCTGTGCATGGATGGAGTGCTGCAGCCTGTCAAGGCAATGCAGCCATTTAAATCCCCGTGCCACCCCTCAGCCCAGGCCCATCCAGCAGGGCCTCCCCTCAAAGCCAGACTGGGTCTGCTTAAGCCAGAATCCTTGGTACATAGGAATAACATGGAAGATATTTCAGAAACAATTTCCTTATCCCATGCCACTAAGGCCAACCTTAGATGGATTCAAATCATGTTTAAATATTTACACAGGTTTTTTTTCCATCACTGCTGCAATGTATTTAGATTCCAGTGCTAAGTTTGGATTAGAAATATCACAGTGGACTCTTCCCCCTCCCCTGCAGCAGTGCAGTGCCATAACACAGGCTGCATCCTGCCTCGGGTGAGCCACCATCTTACCCCGGAGATCTTCACTGCCGAGGATGGAGCTCCCTGGATCATAAAACTGAAAGCCAGTGAAATAGCACAGATTACGCCTCTGTTTCACAGCCCACCGCCCGTGGGTAGCAGCTCCCCCCACGTGCCGCACCTGCAGGAGCCGTGGGGTCTGTGCCAGCTGCCTCACGGCCACCGCCAGCACCTTCCCCTGCAGGGCCAAGCGCACAAAGTACCGACCCCGGCCCTGCGCTGTCCGCGTCCTCTCGCAGCTCCCGGCGCTCCGGATGCTGCTGGACAGAGGGCTCGGCCTGCTTGGGGAAAGAGAGGGGAAGCAGCTTTGGCCAGGCACGGGAGGTTCTCCCTGCACCTGGGCTCCTTGGGATGAGCATATCGCGACAGATGCCACCACAGCTCAGATTTTCACCCCGGTCCAGCTCGGGGACGCTCACCGGCCGCTGGTCTCCGCGGGAAGCTGCTCCAGCCAATGCCAGTAATCCCGTCTGCGGAAGCCCCAAGCGGGTTCTGCGGGACAAAGGGAGCGCGGAGCCCTCGCCGCGGGCCCGGGGACTCTGCCACCGCCCGAACGGGCACCAAGGGTCACTCACGTCGGAGCCCCTTGCGCAGGATGCTCTCCAGCAGCTGGCACAGGGACACGAGGTGCGGCGAGGTGTCCGTGCAGGGGTCCCCATCCTCCCGCAGCCGCAGCACCACTCCTGCGGGGAGGACAGAGAGCGGCAGCACCTGTGGGTGCTCATCCGGGGAAAGGGGAGGGGGTACCCCGGGGACAGCTCTGCACTGCCCCGTGGCGGGGCCCGACACCCCGGTACGGCCCGACCCTCCCCGGCTGCCGCCGCTGCACTGGGCAGAAATTCGGATAAACTTCCTGGAAGCCAAGGGCTTGGGCTGGGGAGCCGAGGGCCGGTCAGACCGGTACCGGTGAGCTGGAAGAAGCTCGCACAGGTGCCATGGGGCCCACGCTCACCTTTAAGGGCGCTCAGCAGCGGCTCTTTCCTGGCCATGGGCTCGTTATCCCCCAGGGCCAGGTGGTCCCGCGACCGCGGCTGGATGGAAACCGGGAATCGAGAGCGGGCCCCGCCCCAGGAGCGGAGGGAACCGGACACACACACACAGGTGTACGTGTACCTAAACTGAAAGCACAGCACAGATGTACACAGGTGTAACACATTGACACGTATACCTGTTGATAGGTACAGATACATGAATTCCATACATTATATCGCAGAACCCCCATATATGAGACACCTGTGCAAAACAGATACAAATGTATTAATTTCTAAGTGTATTGGGACGGGCTTTGGGATACGGATATATGTGCTAGAAAGCCCCGGTGCTGGCCCCGCCGCAGGCACACATGGGGTGTGCGTGGGCGAGCGCTCGCCCTGCCCGTATGGTTGCCCACGCACGAACAGCGATCCCGGGGACCGTGAGCAGGGGCGGTGCGGGGCTCGGCGGTGGTGCGAGACTCATCGGGGGCGGTGCGGGGCCCATCGGGGGCTGTGCGGGCCCAGGGGGGAGGTGCAGGGTGCTCGGGGCAGTTTAGGGGCATTCAGGGGAGGTGTGGTTTCCATCGGGGGCGGTGCGGGGCTCGGGAGCGGTGCGGGCCCGGGGGGCGGTGCAGGGTGCTCGGGGCAGCTGGGGCGTTCAGGGGCGGTGCGGTTTCCATCGGAGGCGGTGCAGCTCGGCCATGGCGGTGCCGGTGGATCCCGGTTCGTCCCCGCTGCTGGCGGCCGCTCGCCGGGCGCACGAAGCGGCTTTCGGGAGTGCGGCCGTGCTGGCGGCGTGGGCCCCCGGCCGGGTCAACCTCATCGGGGAGCACACCGACTACAACGGCGGCTTCGTGCTGCCCATGGTAAGGGCCGTGCTCGCCGCCCCGGCCCCGGGCTCTCGCCGTGTCACCCTTCCGGCTCCTCCTGGCAGCCGCCGGGAGTCCTCTGCCACCGCATTGCCACCCCCGTCCCAGGATATCCCCTCCGGGATACCCCGCCCAGGACCCTGGGGGATCCTCCGTGAGATTCGGAGCCAGCTCTGCTGCAGCCCCCGCTGCAGAGCGGCTCCTCACTGCTTCACGGGAGATGTGATTCTCTTCCCAACCGCCTCTCCGAGAGGCTGAAACCTTTTTTGTGCAACCCCGTCAAACAACTTCCCGTTCCCAGAGAGCGATGCCTTGGTGGCAGACATGGTTCAGAGCAGCAGGAGCTTCCTTTTCCTTCAGACCCCCTTTGGCTCAGAGGGGAAGTTTCCACTCAGTCCTAAATCGAACCCACGGCTAATTACTGTGGGGCCGAGGAGCGTGGGAGCAGGTCAGCTGAATTCCCTGGCAGGCAAGAAAAACTTCCCGAAGCCTCTCCCATTCTTGACGTGGTTACCACTCCCCTGGAGCCCAACAAGCAGCACCCGGAACTGAGCTGTGGGGTTGGCTCAGTGGGAAAACTGACCGTGTGTGTCAACAAATAGGCAGGAAGTTTAATTCTGTGCCAAGCAGGAGTGTGCAGTGGGGTGTTAAAGAGAATACTTGGATGCTCCAGCTGTGGGCTGAAGCAGCCACAGCTGTGCCCTGCCACCCGTGGGGATGCTCCAAGGGGTGCTGCAGGATCTGAGCCCACCTCCCCCACCCGCAGGCCCTGCAGCTGGGGACAGTGCTGGTGGGATCCCCCACGCAGGACGGGACCATCTCCATTGTCACCACCTCGGCAGAGGCAGATGAGCCCCACAGGGTGCAGTTCCCTGCTCCCAGTCCTGGCAGCTCCCTGAGCCCGGGGCTGCCTCGCTGGGCCAACTACGTCAAGGGTGTCATCCAGCACTACCGGGGTAAGGCCTGGGCTGGGGCTGGGTCAGAGCCCCCCCTTGCAGGGGACTGGTGTTCAGATCTGGCTTTGGGAGTGCTCCAGGGGCTCTTCCAGTGTCTGTGTAATCCCGCAGCTCTGCCAGGACCAGGCTCCAGCAAACTCAATCTCAGCTCCAAAGTTCCTGTGCTTGGGGGGCTGCTGGGTCACACTGCTGTGGGTCACCCTGTGTTGTGAAATGTTGCACAGGGGCTCCTTGTGTCATTCCCCGTGAGCTCTGGGGCACACACAGCCCTGCAGGGGCTCATGGCCTCCCTCTTCCCATCTCTTCCTGCAGGTGGTCCCGTGCCAGGCTTCAGTGCTGTCATGGCCAGTGACATCCCCCTGGGCGGGGGCCTCTCCAGCTCGGCTGCTCTGGAGGTGGCTACCTACACCTTCCTCCAGCAGCTCTGCCCTGGTAAGGCACAGCCCATCCTGGGCCCTGGCATCTGTTTCCAGGTGGCAGCTGGGATAAGGGGGGTGCCCTTAGCCAGATCCCACAGCCCTTGGGAAAATGCTGCTGTGAGTGGATAACAACTCCCCAGCTGGCACTGCCCTGCCTGTGTGGCTCCTCTGGCTCATCCAGCCTGACCTGCCCAGACCTCTAAAATCCATGGACCACTCCTGCAACTGGCGAGGGGGATGAGAGGCAGTTCTCTTGGGAGCATTCTCTCCTCACCCTAATGCCCCAAAAAATCAAGATACTTGATACATCAATATCAATTATCACATCCAGCTGGATCTGGGGGCCCAGACTGGCACTGATGCCATGCAGTGGTGCAGGAGCAAGTACCTGCAGCTGCAAAACCCCATTCTGTAGGAGAACAACCCTTTACCTCCATGTTTGCTTCCCCTGCTGCCAGGCAAGGGACAAAGTTGCAGGAGCTGCTAACCTGAGTGTCTCTGCTGTGGCACAGATGACGGGGATTTAGTAGCCAAGGCTCTGGCGTGCCAGAAAGCAGAGCACACGTTTGCTGGGATGCCCTGTGGGATCATGGACCAGTTCATATCTGTGATGGGCAAGGAAGGCCACGCACTGCTCATCGACTGCAGGTCAGGGTCGAGCACTGAGCTCACTGTGCTGTGCCCACCTCCTTGGGCAGCTGGGGATGAGCTGGCTCTGTGGCCATGAACTAAAGGCAGGAGTGCAGGGAGAGCTTAACTCTTGAACCCATCCCAAAACCTTGTGGCGGGGCAGCCTACACTTTAATTCCTCCTTGTCTTGATTCCTTCTCCTGCAACCTTTCTGCTGCTTGCCTGGGCTGCTTTTCCTGTGGGCTCTGTTATGGAACTAATAATTGGGAGGGAGTGAAACGCTTGAGTGAAATCCTAAACCACCTGGACTTTGCCTCTGTAGTTCAGGATCTGCCTGCCACGTGGCTTCACTCAGGTGTAGGAGAGCCGGGGAGAGCAGGGGGGGCTGGCACATGGCTGAGCTGTCCCTGCAGGTCCCTGGAGACCGTCCCTGTCCCGCTGACCGATGCCAGCCTGGCCGTGCTCATCACCAACTCCAACGTGCGGCACACGCTGACGGGCAGCGAGTACCCCACGCGCCGGCGGCACTGCGAGCAGGCAGCAGCAGCTCTTGGCAAGGCCAGCCTCAGGGATGCCACCCTGGCCGAGCTGGAAGGTGGGGACAGCCCCCTCCTCATCTCCAGCCACTCCTTGGGACATCAAGAGCCGAGAGCTGGGGCAGGCGGGTGGGCGCTCACGCAGTGATGGGAGTGCGCTGCAGGCAGAGAAGCTTTGGCACAGGATGGCTGCGGGATGCACCCCTGCAGCATCCTGCGGGCTGTGAGGCTTTGCTGCAAAGACACAAATATCTCTGCAGAGGCCAGGAGCAGGCTGGGGGATGAGGTGTTCCGGCGGGCCAGGCACGTCATCGGTGAGATAGCCCGGACAGCACGGGCAGCACAGGCACTGCAGCACAGGGACTACAGAACATTTGGGAGGCTGATGGTGGAGAGCCACAACTCCCTCAGGTGAGGATGGCCAAGGATGCTGGGCAGAACTGGGCCAGGATCTGCAGCACCCAGCATCACTGCCACAGCACCAGGACACAACTGGAGCTGTGGGTGGTGCAGTGATTGTTCCCAGGGTGCAGGACAGGGCAGAGTGCGGCTCTCCTCTCTCCAGGGATGACTATGAAGTGAGTTGCCCGGAGCTGGATGAGCTGGTGGCAGCAGCCCTGGAGGTCGATGGGGTTTATGGCAGCAGGATGACCGGGGGAGGCTTTGGAGGCTGCACGGTGACACTGCTGGAAGCTGGGGCTGCACACAGAGCCCAGCAGCACATCCAGGTATGTGGCAGAAAAGCTCCAGGACACTGGCTGGAAGATCCCAAGGCAACACTCAGGGGCACAGCACAGGGACACTGTTGAACTGTCCCTCCTGAGCCATTTGGGGTTGGTGGAGCCCATCCAGGGCCGTGCAGAGGTAACCCTGAGTCTGTTGATGCCACTAAGCTCTTGTAGTTCAGCACTGTGCCACTCACAGAGCCCTTTCCCAGGGCCTCATTGCATCGAGAAAGGGAATGAAAGGTGCTGGGGGAGTTTCGGGACGGCCAAACCTATCTACAGAAAAGTGAGCTGAGCTTGGGCACTGCTGAGCTGAACGCTGGCAGTTACAGCCTGGGAGAGATCTCAGTGCCATCACCAGTGTCCCCAACTCAGCACCTTGGTGTGCACAAGTAGCTGGAAATGCCAGCAGGATGGGGGTGTTAGGACATGGGGCCTGTGAACAAGGCAGAGCATCATTTTGCTGCTCTATGAGATCATGGTGCACCCTGTAAATAGCTGGAGGAGGGGTAAAGAAGAGGCAGAGGAGGGTCTGAAATGAGGAGAGACCAAAAGGGCTTTGGCCTCTGGCAAAGGTGGGAGAGAGGGAACACAACCAGGAGTTACAGTCTATGGAAGAGTGGAGGTAGAGTGAGTGTGGAACTGAGCAGCAGGGCCTCTCCCTCCAGCTCTGGCCTCCCCCATCCCCAGACCCCCAGCCTTGACTGCTCCTCTTCTTTTTCAGGAGAAATACAGTGGCACAGCCACCTTCTACCTCACCAAGCCCTCGGGAGGGGCAAAGGCTCTGTCCCTGTAGAGGAATGACCTGGGAACCTTGGGCTGGCATTGCCTCCCTCCCTGAGGCTTTCCCAAGGGGATCAGTTTGTCCATCTGCATTATTTGCCTAATAAAAGCAAAACATTTGCACAGTTGTTCTGTGCCTACCTGAGCCAAAATCACTCGGGCCTGTTCCTCAGAGGATACTGGTTTAACTCCAGTTTGCACTGGTGTAAGGAGCCAGCACCAGAGCTGTAGAGCCCAGCAGAGCTGCAGTCACAGCAGGGGATGGCAGTGGAGCAGCAGCAGGCACTAACACAGGGCAGAAGTTCCTGCTTGGGAATCTGACTCTGGCTCCTGCCCTGCAGATGGAAGATAGTGAGTAGGGAGTGGGGGGGAGGGATTTTATAGTTTACTTAATAAAAAAACCAACAACAACAAAGAGGCAGAATATAGAGAAAATATTTATTGAGTGCAAGAGGAAGCCATCTGGTCAAAGACCTGCTCTGGATCCAGCTTGGAAAGGCTGAAACAGCACCAGCTCCAATAACCAGATGAAATGTAAAAAGACAGACCTGGGTTAGTGCATGGTGGAGGCCTGAGTCCCTGGAGAGCAGCTGATGGGCCATTCTCTGCTCTTGGAGAACAGGATCATCTTTGGTTAAAATGCTTGGGAAAGTCCCTGTTTAGGCAGTTCTCAGTGTCTGACCCCGGACCACAAAGCCCAGGGTAAAGGGCACAGAGTCCTTGTACAGGAGGAGAGAAAATCCCACCCCCAGGCAAGAAGGGAGCAAGGAAGGAGGCAGCCTCACGCCACTGGCACTTGCTCAGCACAAATAAGTGCTTCTTGAAGGCACAGTAAAACCTCAGGGTTGGTGAAGGATCCCTTGAGCCAAGTTCAAAACTGACCCAGCTCCATCTGCAGTCATGGAGAATCCTGTGGATTGATTCACCCACATCCATCTTTGGCTGAAAGATGTACAACCCTTCCCCCAGTGAAATAAAAAGCCTGAAGAGGAGAGGGCAATGGTAGTGGTGAGCTCTTCTTCAGAGTCCAAAAAGAAAAAAAGAAAATTTAAAAAAAGAAAACCACAAAAAAAGCCAAGGTTGATTGTGAGATCAAAGCAGGCTGGTGATGCTGCCAGGGGCCCAGGCAGCTGCTGCTTTGGGTGGAAGCTCTGACCCAGAGCAGAGGCAGCTGCTGCTCCAGGCAGGCTCCTCACCTGCTCCCATGCAGGTGGAACACACCAGGGAAACCTTGCACTGCTCTGCAAGACAGGGAGGCTGTTTGTTCTTCCTGGCAGAGGGCAGGGAGCCTCCAGGGATCCTGGCCAGCACTGGGACATGAAGCCCAGCAGGGTTTCAGCTCAGCCCAGAGCTGTGTGAGGGGAGCTGAAGCTGGGGCTGAAGGAGTCTCAGACTTGGTCAGGATGGTGGGAGTGCCTGCTGTCCCCAGGCTTGCTCTTCCTTTGTGTTTACTGATGGAGCACAGGTCCTTCTATGGATGTTGCTGCTGGGCAAAAGATACCCAAGATCCTCTTCCCTGAAATCTCACTCTCTCCACATCAGCTGTGTAAGGAATCCCAGCACAGTTCCCATCTCAGCTGCTGGGGCCAGCCCCACCCCTCACCTCCTTCCATGTCCAAGTGCTCCAGCTGGGGATGCTCTGCAGTGAGTGGATCTGGCCCCTTGCAGCCTTCTACTGGAGTCTTGTATCCTTCAGCACCAAGGGTCCAAGGCAGAGCCCACCAGCTTCATCACAGGGTTCAAGCAGCCTTTGGATCAAGCCCTTAACTCATTTATTCCAGTTATTCATGTTTCCCAGCAGCCACAATCCCAGTGTAGCCTCCATATTCAGCATAGATCTCGTCCATCTCCATTTTTTTATAAAATAATAAAATATTTTTATATATATTTATATATACTATTAAAACTGTACAATATTGTATGCAAAAAAATGCAAAAGCATCAGAGGCCATCAAGTAATGCAACACAAATGAAAAGTTATTCTTTGCAATCATGGTACCAAATGTCAGCAGCAAAGGACAGACACAAACAGGTGCAGTAAGAAAGCACAGGTTACCCAAAACCCCTACCTTGCAGCTCTCATAAAAACCCCCATACTGAACAAAAGAACCATCTCCAGTGGACAGGTGAGTTGCCAGAGAGCCTGGAGCAAAGTTGGAAATGGTGACCCTCTATAAATCATGATTTTGACATTTGAGATCCTCTCAAAACTGAGGACCTGACAATAAAATAATTCTGTTCCATTTACCTGGAGAGGCTGAAGCCATGGAGACACCCCCCTGCAGGATGAGCCTACAGACTGAGCTGTGCCAGAGCTCTGACTGTGCTGGGCTCCCAAGGAGAAGCCCAGAGCCTGGAGTGCCACAGAGGGCTCTGTGCCTGCAGGAGGAGCTGCCTGGATGAAGAACCCTTGGGTTATTCCATAAAATCCTGGCACCTGATCCCAAAAGTCCTGCTGGAGCTCGGCCTGCCCAGCTCAGGCCTCGTAGAACTGCCTCTCCACGTGCTGGGTGAGGGTCCCGCTGGCCATCACCGTGTGGCTCACGAACTCCTGGGTCAGGGTGCTGCTGGAGTTCTCCACACGCTGGGTGCTCACCAGCATCCCGTCTGCAGGGGGAGGAACCAAGTGCGGGGTCACAGGGAGCAGGGTGTGCCTGTGACTCCGGGCAGTTTGTTTTCCATCACAGAAAGGAGTATTTAAGGACCTCTCCACAGCAGTGTCAGTCCAGAGGATGGATCCCCGAACAGCTCCCAAACTCTCTGTGCTGCAGCACGAACCCATGAGCTCAAGTGGGACAACACAGGGTAACTACATTGATGTGAATAAAGATGTTTGTCCCACTGCTCTGCTTTTTTCTGCTCTGAAGAGATCAAACCTTACAGGAAGAGCTGTGATTTGGTCCCTAGTGATAGTGCTGGAGAACTCTGGAATACAGCATTCCCACGTGTGGAAATGACTGCAGCTCTCCCTGGGGCAAAGCAGGGACACAGTGTAGGAAAAGGGCTGACCCTCTTCAATCCCACCTGAGGGACTCTCCTCCCCTGCCTTTGGCACTTGAGGTAAAAGCAGCCTCAGACCTTTGGACAAGCAGAATTACCCTTTGTTTTCTGAGGGCTGCAAGGCAACAATGAGCCCTTACCTGTGAAGTGGGGATCCAGAGAGGAATGGCTGATACTGGTTTTGGTGGTGTATTCAGTGGGGAATTTGTAAACTTCTCTCATGTATTGCTGCCCTCCAAACTGGGAGAAAGCACCTGGGGAGAAGGAAAAGGAACAAGTCAGTCAAGAAATAACAAAGATCTTCCAACTCCTCAACCCTGCATTGTGAGCACCAGCAAGTTCAGGAATCTTCCCTTGCTGATATCAGAGCAGGTTCAGGAGGAACTGGGAGGACTGGGAAGGTCTCACAGCTGGGCAGTAAGAAGCTGCCTCCAGGTATTTGTACAAACAGGCAGAAGTTTCACCATCAGTTACACATTTCCAGGTATTCCCTCATTCAATGCACCAGGATTGGGACAGTGCTCACCAGGCACAGCACTGCCTTCATGGAAAACTGTCTCCATGTCTCTCCTGGAGTATGGAGTCACCTCCAGAGCTCGAAAGTGACTGCAGGAGTTGTGTTCCCTGCTCTGAGAGGTTTCTCTTTGCACCTCCACAGGGTCCTGTACCTCTGTCCTGAGATTCAATGGTGATGAGTCCTTCTCTCTCTGGCCCAAAGCCTTGCGTGGTGTTGGCTTGCACTTTGAACTTGTATGGGACATTCTCACTCAGGTGGGGCACAGTCAGGGTGGTTTCCAGGTTGTCTCCTTCGACATAGATTGTCCTGGGCTCCCCTAATCCACAGAGACACAGAGAGGTGAAGACAGACCAGAGTGAGGGTCTCCCCAAACACACTCCCCCCGAGATCTGCTGCCCTGGCTTTCCCTGAGCTTTATACAACCCACAGGCTGTAGGATTAACCACTTCTAAGGGTTAAAACAACTCCATTTCACTTCAGTGGGGAACCTCAACAACCAACCCCCACGGAGTTTTGACTGCAATGATCAACAGGTCCTTCCTCTTTCAAATTCCAAACAAATGTCAACCACATCTGTTAGACCAGACCACACAATGGCACAAAGTGTCAGGAGCCACCAGCTCCTGAGTCAGCCTCATGTCCCCACTCTGCACTGATGTAAGCAAATAACTCTTTTACTGGTCCCAGCCAAAATGCAGCAGAGTGCTGCCTTGGCTGGAGGGATCTTGTACTCTACAAAGAGCACAAAAGAAAAAGAAACACAGCTGCTAAACAGCCTAAAGTTTGTGCAGCCTAAAGTTCCATGTAACCAAGTAGTTTATACTGAAAAGGGTCAGTGACTCCAGAAGGGCTTTTTCTCATTTTACTGGAATTCTACAAGGGACCTGTGCTGCCTCAGGCTGACACTGTACCTCCTCCGTGCAGCATCTCACAGGTGATCCTGTAGCCCAGGATGGGCCCATTGGGCTCACGGGGTCTCTCCCAGCTGAGGTGCAGAGAATCTGGGCTGAGGGCAGTGAAAACCAGTGGTCCAGGGGCACAGGGGGTGCTCAGGGTGAAGGGGGTACCTGCAAAGGCACAGGGGACATGTCAGGATCACAGCAAAGGGAGCCTGGGAGGGATCTGCACATTTATGGAATGAGCTGGAAGGGCTCAGCTCTCTGAACGAGTGTGAAGTGAACGTGTGGGGAAGAAGATCCTGTTCCAAAATGAGAGGAAGGAAAGGAGAGCTGAGGATGTGGCAAGGGGAGAGAAAACAGCCAGGCCAGCACTGCAGACAGCAGCACAGACAGCAGTGGCACCCTTGTGTCCCCAGCAGCTCACCTGGCACGGGGCTGAGCGGGCTCTGCGGGTCCACCTGGGACTCGATGGTGATGACTCCCTCCCTCTCGGGGCCCCAGCCCTCCTCGCTCTGAGCCTTCACCTTGAAGATGTAGGAGTGGTTGGGCAGCAGATCCTCCACCACCACCGAGTTCTGGCTGGGGTTGGGGATGGTGATCCTGTGCACCTCTCCTGGGACACACAGGCAAGAGGATGTCAACACCATGTGGCAGCCACAAAGAGCCACAACTTTCACCTCAACTGTCTCAAACAAACTGCCTGAAAAAGCCA